GACAAGCAACAGAAGCTCTGCAAACTATGGTCCGAAGGAACATTTCATGACCTTTAGCCTGACAACTAGTGGATTGTTGCTTTATCCCCAGAGGAGGAGCACATAGGAAATATAAAAAAGCATGGTAGCAACATTGTTCAGAACTGTTGTAGAAACTGTAGCATTGCAAAGATGTCTCCACAAGCAAAATCTCATCAAGTCTTTAGCACAGCAGTTCCCAAAGTTTTCCTCCCCTTACTAGGACTTCTTGTGACTTTCAGATAGACTGCCCCATGTTAATTCGAAGATAATGGACCAGTAGTGTTTTGAATTGCATATGTATGGATCCTCTTTTCAAGAGGAGTGTTATATACCCTTGCTTCGCTCTTCCTTCCTAGGACCCTGTGCTGTACACAATAAACTTACGCTAATAGAAGTTTTTAAGACATTAATTCATTTTGAGAAGTGACTTCCTAGAGAAAACCTAATAACTGACAGACGTTTTGTTTACAGTAGTCATTCTTAATCCTCAGTAGCTTTCCATGGCTTCACTTAACCACAGTGAGCTATGGTCCCAAAGTATCAACTGGAAAATCCCAGAAATAATGGATTTATGTTTCCGATTACTTTCATTGAAGGATGTTATTATAATTGTTCTGTTCTGTCATTAGTTGTTGTTGTTAATTTCTTGTTGTTCTTAATTTGTCAATTCAACCTTACAATAGGTATCAAGTACAGAACAAGAACAGGTATCAAATATAGGAAAAGAATAATAAGTGTGTAGAGATTTCAATAATAGCTGTGAGTTCTGATACCTACTGGGGGTCTTGGAGCATATTTTCTAAAGACAAATGCAGAGGTATTGTACTTAAAATTTTTAATAAAGAATTTTATAATATTCAAAAATTTTAAAGTAACATTATATATCTATTGGCATATATTCATGATAGTAAAAGCATAAATGAAGGAAAAGAAACAACAATTGAAAATCCTTTTTTATTTTTAAGATCATCTTGCCTCTGCTTCTAGAGAGATCTGGAATCTCTTTAGAAATTACTTTTCATGAAATATGTCTGTGTTTTTAGTATTATCGTTCAAGACTATTGTCATAAGCCAAGTCTATGAAGAAAATGAATATGTAGTTCCTTTTACAAAGATGGAATTACAGATTTGGAATTTGATTTTCTATTAAAAGGCACATTGACTTGTGAGAGAGGAGATGTTATCAAGACCAAAGAAGACAGAGATTCACACTGGGCCCCTGGGGGATCAAAACCATTCTTTACATCATTTTACAGTGTTCTTTTCAAGTGACTAACTAGTTAGCTGTTACTTTCCATTAGTGTGGCACATCTGTTAAGGAGGGTTTCTCACAAACACAGCCTCCTTTCAAGCACTCACTGAATACAGTTCATTCCCAGCCCAAAATCTCTCTGAGAGAAATGTTAATGGATTTCAAAAATATTTTTAATTATTCTTTGAGAATTTCACACATGTATACAATGTATTTCTATTATGTGGACTCTCTTCTTCAATTTCTCCAATATCCCTTCCACCATGTCTCCCTCTAAACTGCCTACACTCTTTTCTTTATAATTCACTGAGTCAAATTAGTGCTGCCCTTGTGTGTATGAGTGTAGGGCCTCCACTAGATCTTGGACAGCTTACCAGGAGCCATATCCAGGGAAAAAAAACTGGCTCACCCTCCCCCAGCAGCCAACAACTGCTAATAGCTTGTCTCCTATGGGGCTCATGAAGCCCCACCCCATCTGTGGTGGAATTTCAACTCAGAAGCCACTGCAAGTCTTCCAGTGGGGGATTTTTAGGGCACTAAAGGGTGCTTGCGAATTTTCTGGACACACATTCAGTTTCAAATTCATGAAATTTCCCTATTAGGTACTCCCCTCCTGGTGCTCTTTGATTCTAGGCTTCGCTTGGGCAATGCCTATGTTCCATTTCTTTTTATAAAGTCCAAGATATTTCTGTTAGGAGAGCTTGAGGGCTAAATAGGGGAAGGGGAACTGGATAGCTCAGGGGCCTAGCTAGTGTCATCTGATCTCACTTACCCTTGGGCTTCCTTGAATCTGGCTCCTCTTCACACAGTCTCTAAATATGCACCAGCCCTTCCACAGCCATTGACAAGTGGTCTCTGGAGGGGGAGCGCCTGATTTGGAAGCCAGGATCATCTAATTACTACCTGTGAGGCTTTAAGCAAGTCAGTTCTTCTCTCTCTGCCTCAATTTACCAAACTAAACAATGAAGACTATAATGAATACATTAGAAAAATGTTAGCAAAATTAAGGAGATAATACATGCAAAGCTATTAGTGTGGCGCATATGGTAAACATTTTTTAAAATTTAGTTATAAAATATATCAACAACCAAAAGTTTAAAAGGGCCCAGGGTCTTAAGAAAACATAATGGGTTAGAGGAAGAAAGTGTGGAAAAATATGGGACCTAAAATGTGGGCAGAGAGATCATTTCTGGGTAAAACACAATCTGACAAATTCCTGGACCCTGGACAAAGTAGGATTACTTTTATGGCGGTTGAGGTCAGGAGGGAGGGAAGAAAGGAAGGAAGGAGAGGGAGGGTGGAGAAACATGTGGGAAGAGGATAGGGAAACTGCGGATTGTGGGGTGAGGGGAAGAGAAGTCCTCAAGTTGGAAAACAGGTGCTCTGTTTCAAGACTGTGGTCTGAGCTGAGCCTCCTGTTGGGTGCTATTTGTATCTGCTGGTGCAGTAGTCAAGTTGACTTTCTCCAAGTGAGCCTCAAGAATCCCCATAATGCCACCTTAATAGGCTAAGTGTTCGCATTCGTCCTTGCCTTCCTTTTCCTTGAAAATTTTCACAAGGACAACAACAACAACAACCACAAAAAGTAAAGGTTTCTCTGTGGAGTTCTAGTTTAACATCTAGGTTCCGCTCTCCCCACCCACAGGAGTCCATCCAGACACTTTAACTAGATCTGTAGACTCAAGAAGTTCCTTCAGCTTCCAATATGCGACTAGAAAGCACAAAGATCTATTCTGAATTCTTTTGCTTGGTCCCAATTTGCTTTGCTAGGCTGAAACAGTTGGCCACAGGAGCATTTCCCCACCCCCCACATTCAGCAAACAACATCGGAGGTAAAAATGTCAACTTGTGAACATGTCTTCCCTTCAACAAAGAAAGATTGTCTTAGGATAACCTTCAGAGTTCCTTTAATTGTATTTCTTGATTTTCCTAGCTTTATTTTTTAAAATAGTAAATACATACAAAATTGTAATTTTCTATGAACTGCAAATCTTCCCTTTTAAAGTTATGAAATGTTATTTTTCCAGCTTACACTTAGGGAAACGCAGAAGCATTTTACTGGTCATTAAGGAAATCTTAAATTGTTTTAAAGGAATAGTGTTTTGTGTGGCAGAGTTGTCAAGATTTGAGTTCTTTCAAAGTGTAATTTCTGTGAGCACACACACACACACACACACACACACACACACACACACACACACGTAACTTGGTTTAAGAAGATTCGATTCAGAACACCCAGGCTTGTTATTTTGGAGGAGGTGGTGGTTGATTTATTCTGTTGCCGTTAACAGAGAATCTTTAAGTAGCGAGACCGGGTTCCTTGGACAAGCTGTAGCCATTACAGCGCTCAGGGAGACTCTGAGATAAAGGATCGTAAAGAAGTCAAACTCTAGCGTTGAAACGGACAGAAAAATAAACAAAATCCACTAACATATAAGAAGAATAATTACAAAAGTTCGGAAGCTGGGTCAAAAATGATAAACTCGAAGCCAGTGGGAGGAATTATTCGTATAAATCTTCTTAGGATAGGTAACAAAATTTGTTCATTAAAAAAGAAAAAGAAATAGGAAACAAATTCCTAATAGCATTGCGACTTGGTGTTTGGGTACTCAAAGCACAGTAAGCTAGCTCCGGGGAATGCAAGCAGCTTCAGGACATTTTCTAAAGTGTTCTTTGTAGTGCGCAAGAGCTTAGAATGCGGTTAGTTTTATGCACTGGCTCCCTTTTCTGTAAATGCTTCAAGAGGCAACTCACTTAAGGATAAATCACGTTTGTCTTGTAGGAACCAAGTGTCAGCCTCCTTGCGCTTTGTGGGGAAACAGGGGCGCACAGCTCCGGAGCCCTTAAAAGTTTTGCAATGAATGAGTGAATGAATGAAACCGGACCGAAAAGCTGGAGGCTGGAAAGCAAGCAGAAACTTCCTGGGCTCACTGCGAGCTCAAAGCCTGCAAACTTAGGACCCAGGACAGCCAGAGCTGCTGACACTTGGGTCTGTGTCCCTTAACCCAAACACCTGTTCATAGGTGTGGTTTTGACTAAGCAGCGTCAGCCAGACGCCTGTTAGCCCCTGGGCTAGAGGAGATGCAGATGTCTCTGGGGGGGGGATCGAAGGAACTTTGGTTGTCCTTTCTGTACTTCCTTGAGCTGCTAGGGGCTTTAAAGATCAAGTTGTAGCAGCCCTAGGGACTCCGTTTCTCCCTTCACAGTAGGGGATACCCAAGTGTGATCCCCAATCGAATGGGCGAATCCTTTCCTTCTCGATTTCCTTATTTTTTTTTTCCAATCAAGGGAGCAATTAAATTAGAGGGAACCAGAAAGAGAACCCAGACCACTAGGAAAGTTACAATGTTTCTTTGGGGGAGATGACGGTGCGGGTTGTTTGGACTGTGGCAGAGCTGTGGGGCCCAGACTGGGAGCGGCGCTGAGAGGGACCGGTTTTCCGGGGCTGGCAGCTGCCTAGCAAAAGTTTCCTGTGGAACAGTGGCCGGCGGGGGCGGGGGCGGGGGCGGCAGGCGCAGCCCAGGACCCGGGGGCGGAGTGCAGGCGGCTAGGGGCTGGCCCGAAGACCGTTAGAGAGCCTCGCTCGGCCCCGGGGCCCCCCTGGCTCGCCTCCCCGCTGCGCGGCTGCCCACCTGGCGACGTGACGCTCCACCAATCCCCTTCGAGCTCCTCCGGGCCCCTTCGCCTTGCACCGCCCCCCTCCTCACCCTGAAAGGCGCACCCTGACCGGACCGCCCTGCGCTCTCGCCGCGGAGCACCCTTCTGGCTTCTTCGTCTCTGGACGGACGGACGCTGGAGCTCTTCTCTTGCCCTTAGCCAAACTTACTTTCCCGCCTCTCGAAAACTCTTAGCTTCTCTCTCCTCCTCCCTTCAGCTCGCTCTTTTCCACTCCATTTCCCTCTCCTCTCCCACGCCACAAACCCACCTCCCCTCTCCTCTCTCCCATCCCCTCCTCCCTCCCCGGGACCCCCCTAAACTCTTCTTCCTCCTTCACCTCAAAGACTCAGTCCCAGCGCGCCTGCTGGACTCGGTCTCCTGCTCTGCTCCGGTTCTTCTCGAAGTCATGGCAGGACCTGGGGGTTGGAGGGACAAGGAGGTGACAGATCTGGGCCACTTACCGGTAAGTAAAGGACTCCAGGCCATCGCCCTCATAGTGCGCTTCTTTCCGAGGCTTTGGAAGCCTGGGGAAGAAAGCCCACACCCTCCAGCAGCCTAGGCCAGGACTTCGACGGGCTGTGGCTCAGGATGGGCCAGGGAAGCTCCTATGCACAATCAGTGTTCCTGGGCTCCTGGTTGAGGTGAAGGCCACAAAAAAGCAAAGGGACAGGGTGAGGTTGGGGAGAAAGAAGTGGGTCCTAAAGGGTGGGGCCCTTTCTAAATAGAGCCCGCTTTGTCTAGCAGCGCCTGGGTACTTGTAATAGCAGCGTTCCTGGAGAGGACAAGTGGCTGACCACCCCCTTTGCTTCTTTTGCCAGCGGAGATCTCTACCTATGGGTGACCCCTTTTAAAAAAAGTAATGAGCACTAGAAAATTGAAGCATTGGAGTCACACTGCTCTCACTTTGTAGTAGCGGTTTCTAAAACTTGATTCTCACCAGGAGAATGTTCTCGATTTAGTATTGCTGGAGCGAAAAGAACTCGACGCCGCCTGGATAAGAAGTGAATTCTGTACATGCCTTTTAGTTTTTAGAACAATGTATTCTGTCCCTTAGATGACGAAATATAATTCTTTGTTCGTTGTTATGTGCAGGGTCTCCTTTTGCTCCATGTCCAGTTGAAATTGATTGGTGAGCTATTAAAGTCATCATAAACAGCAGACTTACTACTGTAACAACACCGTTTATTTCATTGGCATCTGGTTTCTGGCTGATACTGGATCCCACCCAAATCCATTTTTCAAGTTCCCTTTTTAGATTGGCATTTCACTTGCACCCTCTCTTGAATGCAAAGGGCCCCTGGACTCTCCAAAGGAGAATGATGCAGGCACTGTGCTGGAATGATCGCCAAGCATGTGTTGTTCAGGGCACTGGCCTCCGTGCCTTGAGAAAAGCTAAATATTAACCGTGCAGTTATAGGACTATTCAAAGTCATCTTGCCTTAATTAATTTTGTGTATGTTTTGGCATTTAAAGATGCCTGTTGTTAATGATGGCAGATACCTGCTTCCCTAAAAATGGGACATTCTCAAGGCCTCATTTTATAATTTTGCAGATGTGGTATGGTATGTGGTAAGGGGAGGTGATCTACTTGGGTAATATTTTAGCAAACTATTTCAGTCATTAAAGAACGTACTTCAATACAAAACTGTTGAATGGCAGCTGGTAGAATTGCTATTGTTGCAACTTCATAAAATAAGACTAAAGAATTAAAAAACATTAAACCGTTTTTCATCCCACATACACCTGAAATCATTTCTTTTCCAGGATGTATACATGAGATTTCTGGATTATGGAGGCTTCAATTGGTGGATTGCCTTCTGAGCAGAATTTTCCTATTCAGACTAAGATTGATTTGGTTCTAAATAAGACTGTAAAGTCAGTGAATGACCTGCTCACCTCCTCAACATTCTCAGGCTGTGTGTGTGTGTGTGTGTGTGTGTGTGTGTGTGTGTGTGTGTGTGTGTGTATAAGCACACGTAAACAAGCTGAAAGACCTTATAGAAATGATAGCACAGGGAGTTCCAAACCCAAAGAACACAGACAACAGAAAGTAAAGAAGTAAAGGTGTCTTAACCACAAACGTCGGGGAGAGATTCCCTGGATTAACTAACCTGGTCATGGCTTTGGGACATACAGATCATGACGAGAGTCCATGAGAGAAGCAAAATGGCTGAACACTAGAACATTAGTGTTCTCAAGATTGGATTGAGGGTGGCCATGGGTACAGGAGACAAACATGAGATTGGTTTGTAATGTTGGGGAATATGGAAAAGACAAAAACAAAGGGTACAAATGATATTTTTCCTCATTTTAAATCATCATGGAAGGTTCAATTTAGGAAAATTCTTATATTTCAGAATTTTATTTTAGAATAATTTTCTGTACCATCTGAACAAATCATGGGTAATTCTCCCCTCTCCCTAGATTCAAATTCCAAGAAAAGAAATATAGCTGAAGAGCAACATGCTCTTTAATATTTTCCTTATATCAAAGGTGTAGAGATCTAAAGTCATTGTTTCTTCAGTCACCGAGGTGTAGTTTGTTGTTTTGTTTTACATTTCACTTATATCCTGAAGACTTTGACGTCAATGAATAGATGAATTGATAAGTTAGATAGACATTTGCATTTTGATGCAGAGAGACACGATCAAGTGAAGAAAACAGCATAGGGCGGTGTCCCTTGCTATACTTATTTTCAATAGGACACATATGAAGGACAGAATATTGGCATATGTCCCTGCTAAGTGTAACAGTTTGGAAACAGCTAGATAATGAGGAGATATTCAAACCTTGACGTGTCAAATTGATCAAAAAGAATCTTGGAGGCCTGGGTATAGACTGGCTGAGCTGTAGAGTGCATGTCTAGCATGCACAGGTCCTGGGTCCACTTCCCATATTACACAGGCACACATAAACGTATATACAAATCTTTCAGAGTATGAAAGTACAATTAAATATAAGTTTTGGATCTTTATATTACGTACTCTTTGTGATTAATCAATTAAATGAACATAAACCAGAAGCCCTGGAGAGTACAAACTTGGGCAAGAGTACAAATCGGAATTTAAAGAAAGGAATAGGATTTGAGTCATGGAAGCGGAAGGACCATGACTTTGGAGCTAGTGCAGGCTACATAGGGAGTTCCAGAATAGCCTGAGCTTCCAAAAAGACCCTCTCTATAGCACAAAACAACAAAAAAGTGATATAAATTATTTGGTATTTTAATTAGATAATATTTTATGCCTAAAACATTAAGCAATAGTGAACATAGAGGAGAATAATACATAAATTTCACATTTGTAAATGTTATTTTCATGTAATTATAAGGCCTTTTGTCTAGGGCCTTAGATACATAAAGTAAGAAAGCCATTAAATATCAAGGAATAGGTCAATTTAATCATATTTACTCTTTGTTTTTAAGATAGGGGTTTCATGTAGCCCTGGCTGGCTTCCAACTATTTATATAGCTGACACTGGTTTTTCTGCCTTTCTTTTCTAAGTGCTGGTAGTAAAGATGGGTCACCACATAATCATACTTGTTAATGACCTGCTCTAACGTTTCCCAATTTTTAACTGAATATATACTTCCTATAGGAGAAGAAAAGTACAGAGGTTTCTGGTTTATGCTTCCTTTCTTTGCAAAGAGAGTTGCGATGTTGCATGTGTTAAATTATTATTATATATTACATTTTTATTAATTTATAATTTATTATATATGTATGTATAATTAGTAAGCCTGCATAACTCAATCTTCTTCATCTCCAAATCTAGCTAGTCTTTCACTACGATTGTCCCCCAAGCCTTCTCTGCCCAGTATGGTAATAACATTCCTAGTGGCTTTGGCCTTGGTATTTGACACTCCCCTGTGTACTCCTAATCTATATTGGGGTCAGGATTAGACAGGCTTTGAGGACAGTAGTGGCAGAGGTGATCTGAAATAGTACATGATCCAAACACTATATTTGAAATACATTAAGCTTATATTTAAATATAACTTCCAGTTTTCCCAGTCTTCACTGAGAAGGCAAGACATGAGTTCCGCATTCAGTCACAAGAAGCTTCCCACTTTACCAAATCCCTTAGCTGCTTTGTGGAAGCCATTTTGCCTTCAAGGGCGCAAGGTTCGACATATCCAGCATACCATCCATTGCACGTAGAATACTGCCTCAGCTTGATGTTGCAATTCAATCCGTTTCCTAAGCCACGTTCCCTGTCTCTAGGACAGTGTTTTTCCAGAGGTTCGTGCACAGGGACAGAGTACGTGAGCTGATAATCATCTAGGTATCTTAAGGGAATCGCCCAAGGAAATTCTGATTTCGTCATTTCATACTAGCCCTAAGGAGTCTTTTTTTTAAAAGAGGATTTGTAAATGAGTCTTGTGGAGAGAATATTTATGAAGTAGTGATCTATAAAGACTCTGATTCTATTGTGAAGCTCATCCCTGCCACTGTCTCTGAGTTTCATTCTAGTACTTATCTCATTAGAACCAACATTTTAGGAACTCTAGCCACAAGTTCTTTCCATGATGGAAGAAAATCCTTTGCCGTCTCTCTCTGTATACTGAAGTGTTTATCCCACTCCCCTTGCTGTGTAACCGGTGGAACATGTTCCCTAACCTTTACGTGAATGTAAGTACACTTGAAACTTCTTGCTACCTGTGTTGACCATGTGCCACTTTTCTCTCCTCCTTTGTATAGGCGCATTCAGCTTTATTGATCAGGCTAGGACTGTGTCTTCCTTGACCAGGAAACACTGCCTTCTAGTGGTTCTTTTGCTGCCTTCTTCTGTTCCCTTAAGAAATTAGCCACTGGGGTGCTCAGCCTTTCCTTCTCTTCCTGCCCTCAGAAGAAACTACTCTCAAGCTCCAGCTTTCAAGGGCAACTCAGTTAGGAATTTTAATTTGCTAGAGATAATTTAAATATATAGAAATATGTAAAAAAAATTTTAAAAATTGCCTAATCGTTTCTGGCTTAGAAATAAATTGACTTTTTTAAAAATCTCACTTTTTAAGAGAAGATCTAAGAATTTGGGTTTCTTATTTTATATCCCGAATAAACGTGGGCTGGCTGAAATGGAAAATGAGATAGAAAGATTGTGTATTAATTTATAAATCAGCATAGGTATTCCTTCTTTCTATCTGAATTTAGTAAGCATTTAGTTGTAAAACAGAGATGAGACAGATTAACAACATCACACAAAATGAATGCAAACAATAGCCTTAAAACATAAGAATACTAAGTTTGACATCCTTTTAAAACTTGAAATTTAAAAATGTGTTATTTTATTTAAGGGGAGCAGTAGGGTAATTAAGATGATGTCATTATTTGTGACTAGAGAACAAAAAGATTTCTGACAACATTAACGAACCTAAATTAAGGTTTCTGTGATTTGCACAGTACAGTTCCTCATTTTCTCTTTTGAGTACTTAGATACTTGACTTAAAATCTCACTATAAGATTATTGTTGAAGGGCAGAAAGAGGATAAGATAAATTTCTGACTTTTTCTGAAGATTCAGAGATACCAGCTATATCAACAGACGATATGAGAGTTCCCTAACATGGTATCTTTATCACGTTAAACACAAACATACTTATAAAAATAATAGCTTACCAATAAGAGTTAGCTAATTTGTTTAATTGTTTTAAGAAGTAACCCAGCCCTCCAAGATGGCTCAGCAGGTAAAGGTGCTTGCCCCAAAGTCTGAAGACTGGAGTTCAATGCCCAGAACCCACAAGGTGAAAGAACGGACTCCCACAAGTTGTCCTGTGACCTCCACATGTGCATTTATGGCATGTGCGAATGTGCCCACACACCGTACAGAATGAATAAATAAATACATAAGTAAATAAATGCATTTTTAAAAAGTGAGCAGTTGTTGTTTCTCTTAAATTGCTAATGGTGTAAATAAACTTCTCAGTGATATCTTGGAAAGGAATGTGCTAAAGCAATAGTCCCTAAAACCTGGTTCTTAGTAACTCCTTTGTTGCTTACCTCTTCCCCATACATCTCCAAGAGAGTCATAGTAAAAGTTACATACTAGATATTAAATATGCTTTGCTTATCAAATAATAAAAGCTGTCATTTAAACATTTTTTTTAACTTTCAGTAGGTGGCTATGCCTTGATCTATTTGCTTCTAATCATGACTTTATTGTGTTATTAATTTTAATGAGTGTTTTAAGAAAGTATGATTCTGGGTTGCTGCCTTGACAATGTTTTTGTCAATCCTGTGGAAACATTTGGATTTTAGGATGAAAGAATATGATATTTTTCCTATAAAATATTACAACTCAGACAACATTGAATATAATGCCTTCGTTTTCCATGTGTGCTAATGGAACCTGAGAGAAAGTTCCCCAGAGCTATATAGTTAATAAAACAACTCTGGAACTAAAACTCAATTCTTCTGACTCTCCTTCCATTTGGATACTTGTTGACTAAGATGAATTCAGAGTTGTCATTTGCCTATGACAGTTTTGCTAGATCACATAAATATCACACTAATCTTAAGAAATTTATGACTTTCTTCACATATGTTCCTTTCACTAAGGTGCTTTCCGTTTATTTTTTTATATTGCATTTTTCACAGTGATAAAATTATTTTATAGCATCATTAAATATTTATGTTCTATATGCTTTCTGGATTTCCAAGTATTTGTTAATTTCTCTACCATTCTTGTATAAGTTGACATCTACTCATGGTTCACACAAAATTTTCTAAAATCTCTAGTGTTGATTATAAAACAAGTAAAATGTATGGAACCATGTTTTTGGTGAACAGAAAAACAATGCTTACATTACAAGGTAAGGGCATAATCCTTGAGGATGCATATGGAAGATTCAGAACTGTATCCAAAACTACATTTTCTTAGATATGAAGAGTCAAGAGACTATTGATCAATTTGCACGATGAAAAGACACTCAGTTGATATAAATGTGAATATAAGAAGCAAAACCAACACTAGTTGTTGTTTTTAGTTCAAAACTTATAATGCCTTGGTTTTTGCTTTGTTATGTGTATATAGTGATAGTAGTATAAGGGTTATAAATGAGTTCATTAGACTTTGCATCCAATATCTACCTCTCATTCATGAATGTTAAACTTTTTAATCTATTTAGTTAGAACTCAAAAATAGATAATGAATGAATACTTCTTCAGCAAGTGTGTGAACTTATTTCTATCTTACTTACCTATGTAGTTTACTCAGAATTACTTACTTGTATATACTTTACAGTATGGTTACATGAGTTCTTAGTGTTCTTTTTTTTATAAATGACTATATTCAATCTAAGGACATTGTTACCTATTCTTTTGGGAAATGGGGTCATGAAAGAACATGTTTCAGGGGTGCCTTTTATTTTGTAAATTCCAAAGGAACAATGCAGATTGGAATCGTTTTCAAGAAAGCTGACCATTTTTGTTCTACTTTTTGTAGGACCCAACTGGAATATTCTCACTAGATAAAGCCATTGGTCTTGGTACTTATGGGAGAATCTATTTGGTAAGTGGAACTAGGTTAATTATTCATGCATAATTTTTTAATAACAACAGTAATTGTGAGTCAAACCCCAACAATGCAAATAAAATACTGCTAAAATATAGTGCATAAATCTGAGAGGTGAAACAATTTGACTATATCATTGAGATTTTAAAATTTATTGTTTATTAATGCAAAAATGGATTGGAAAAACTATGCTGAACCAATGAACATAAGACGTAAAATTAATAAAGTGAAAATCTTTAATTGAAAGGGGGAAATCAAATAGAATGTACTAAAATAATTATATTACTTGTTTTATAACATATATCAATGGCTTTTAGTTATCTATATTCAACTTTAAATTGAATGTTTTATTATTGATAGGCAAAGTTCGTTAATTTTCTATATTAATGCACAAGAGTCTGCAAATGTGTAGATAAAGTTTGCTAAAGAATTTCTCAAGAAAAGCTACACTTATTTAATGATTATATATTATACACTAAGTATTCCCCTAGGAACTATGATAATCTCTTTGAATGAAGTAATAAATAAAACAAGTGTAGTTCCTGCTCTTCTGAGGCTTACAATATTGAAACATATCATTAAGTATGCATATGTATAGAGGCTTGTTTAAAACACCCACATATGATATGTAAGTAAACACACAGCTATGTAATTTTAAATGTCATGTATTAACCGTTAGGAAGTTTATAGCAATATAGATGTATAAAACATGGAAATTCATTTAGAATGGAAGATCAGTGTTGACCTACTGTATCTAGATTTTTCCTGTCTAGCCCACAGTCAGGACAAATCTCTGTCACCCGTAAGTCCCACAGCCGCTCAGACCCAACCAAGTAAACACAGAGACTTACATTGTTTAAACTGTTTGGCCTAATGGCTCAGGCTTCTAGCTATCTAGTTCTTACATCTTAAATTAATCCTTTTCTATAAATCTATAACTTGCCACGTGGCTTGTGGCTTACTGGCATCTTCACATACTGCTTGTCATGGTGGCGGCTGGCAGTGTCTCCCTCTGCCTTCCTGTTCTCTCAATTCTCCTGTTAATCCCGCCTATACTTCCTGCCTGGCCACTGGCCAATTAGTGTTTTATTTATTGACCAATCAGAGCAATTTGACAAACAGACCATCCCACAGCACCTACTTCCTGAAAAGTTAAAAACTGATATCAGGAGGATAAAAATGAGGTGTTGTTGAGGTGGACATTAAGACATTCCAGGGGTAGGACAGTATTAAGGACTTGCAAGTAGCCTTGTCACCTTAGTCAAGCCTGCTTCTTATACTTTAAAATATGGTAAACTTCTATTGTCTCTGTCTTGTAATGTTATAAAATATAAGGTTCTGCATAGAGAAGCATTCATTTTTCCAAGGCCTTTCCCTTGAAACCAATATTACTGTCCCTAGGCTAACCTTACTGCCCACTGAATTCAGGTCATATTTATATTGATTGTTTCAGCAATGCCCTGATATAGACCTAAAGTAAACATCTTCTTTCCCATCAAGACAAGGGTACCCTCTATAAGGACATGTCTGGAGCAGCATCTTCCCAGTGAGACTTCTTCTCTAATTTATCTGCCTACACTGAAGTGAGAGATGATGCTTTTTTAAAAAAAAATTACCAAAGCACATTCCACATAGTAGCAAGAGCAATGTAGGCAGGCCCTAAGTATAGAAAGAAGCTTGGCAAGTACAGGGAACTGAAATAGTGACAATAAAAAGGACAAAAGTTTCCTTTTCTTCAAATAGTTTTGATCTTACACATAAACTGAACTGATTAGCTACAGATAGTAATAATGGCACAGAGCCAAGTATATATTGCTTATGCCATGTTTCATTTCATGCTTGGCAACATTCTCAGTTTTACCTCCTGATATAGTGATAAAACACCAAATACATGGGTAGTAAAATACCTTTTTATGTTTTTTATGACAGACACATTTATAATATGCATGTTATATAAATATTTCAATTCTTGAGGTGCGTTTATATATATATATGTATGTGTGTATATATATATATATATATGTGTGTGTGTGTGTGTGTGTATGTTTGTAATTCTTCTAAGAAGTATACAGCCTTCTTCATCACCAAATGTTGGAAATAAGGTAAGAATTAAGCATTCATCAGAGCTGTGATGTCCTCACCAGAAGAGCAGTCAAAAAGGTAAAAAGGTTATGCATGAAATTTTTATTTTTTTTGAAAAACTCTGTGTCTAGTATATAATTAATAAAATTCACTCATGAGTTAAGCAAATATTTGTAATCATATAGCTATCACCACGATGAACATTTAAGTATAGATCTTATGTTAACGTAAGCCAAGGAATGCCTTTACACTTAATTGTGTGGTATACCAGATGATGTGCAATGATTATGATTATTATGAATTTTGTTTTTACATATAATAAAAACCTATAATTGTGCTATAAGTTTATTTATATTGAATATACTCATTGTTTCCATACTTACTGGGATTTTTTGGGGGGACATTGGGTGGTCAACTTCTTAGACAAAATACGAATAATGCCTTTTATGTCAACATTTAGTTTAACCATTTCTAGAATTTTCATTTCTCTTTTGAAAATCCAATTTTATATCTGGTATGAAGAGCTTAAGACTGAAGACCTGAATGTTCCTTACAGTTTGAGGTTTCTACTAATGAAATACATGACTTCTTTACTTCTGGAAGATATTTACAGGCATAGGAGCTCAATTGACATTTTTTCTCAGCATTATAAACATGTCACTCCATTTCCATCTGGTTTCCATAGTTTCTGAAGTGTGGTGTGGTGTGGTGTGGTGTGTGTGTGTGTGTGTGTGTGTGTGTGTGTGTGTGTGTGTCCATGTCTGTGTGATTCAGAGATATCCTCTCTTATTTTCTTGCCTTGTCCTTCATTTTGTCTGTGCCATAAATCCACACAGATGCCTGTATGTCTGTAATTTCAAATTTCATCCTGTATCTCTTTCCAAGACTTTTGCAAATTCATGCTTGGTGTTTAGCAATTCAGCTAAAAAATACATGCTTTCTTCATGTCTGCCTGTGTGTATTTCTGTTCCCCCTGTGGCCATAGGTGAGCCCATACCTTTCTTCAGACTTAAGGCTTGTTGATTGCTTTGAAACTCCTCTCTATATTAAAAAAGTATGCTTTTCTAGATAGATTTTTTTTTCCTTGATGTTGGGCTAAGAATGGTTGTCTCTGGATTTCGTATCCTCATCCAAAGTGAGAAGTCTATCTACATTTCTTTTAAATGAATGCTGATGATGCAGTCATTAGTTGTATGGTAGAGCACATTAACTTCTAAGAATTTAATGTGAACTATTTAGATCCAGAGGTTAAAAAAAATACATTCCACTGTCCAATTTTCTAAGCAGAACCCAGTTTCGGGATGTTGATGATTAAAGCTCTATTTACAACATAAAGATTTCTTTCTGTCACTCACACATGACTTTACTGTTTTTCATTGTAACTCAAATTAATTTCTTTCTGTAAAAAGATACATTAATATTACCCTCATAGAAAACAACATGAAGTAAGTAGTCATCAGTTTTAAAGTGATTATCCTCTTTATACTAATAGTTCTACTTTTAGAAGTTTTTAATAAAATACTCCAAATTAGAAGAATAAAGATGCTCCCTGCAGCAGAAAGTTGGCACATTGTGGTGAGGACAGCTCCTTTGAACCAGGCACATCTAATTAATTCAACGCTTAGAGGTATGACAGGGAATTGGTCATTTAACCTCTGATGACACATTTCCTTTTGTTTATAAGACAGAGTTCATCCTACTTACCTTGCAAACTTGAATGAAACTTAGAAACAGTATTTAGAGAATGTTTGACACATGGTAGATTTCTGTGAAGATGGCTATTACTGCCATTATTGTTGCTATTATTTCCACAAAGAAAAATTAAGTGACACTGTAAATAATAAAAAAATTAATGGAAAGGAATTACCTTATACTTAGTATTTCACTGTTCTGTAAAACAATATTTAGTAAAATGACAGAAGAATACTTACTGAGCTAAGTAAAATAGTCATTATTACACTTATATCTTAAATATGCAGATGAAAATATTGAATAACACTGTTAGATTAATAAGATATTAGATAATTTTTCTAGTCCATATTTTTGCTAGATTGTCTTTTCTGTCTATAATATTACATAGTTGAGTTAAAAACGTGTCTATATTTTATGTAGATATATACAACTATTATATATTAGACATTACCAGCTGTTAAACAACTAATCTATACAACAAAATGGAGATATGATACCATTCAAAGTTAATGTAAGAGTGACTCACAGAGTCCTCTGCTTTTTGGTACTGCCAACCACATCCCCTGCTGTTGTTTGTTTTGGTCAAAGTCTCTCCAATGTCTTCCAGCTTGTTTCCAAGGGCTCCTTCTCTGGCAGGTTTCCAGCTGTCTGCTGAGGTCTGTGCACATAGAAATGAAGACTAAGTTTCACTCAACTCTACCTAGTAACTCTTTTCCCTTCCTTCTTCTAATTAGACACCTATCTTCCCACCCTGTCCCTCTTCCCGCCAATACAAGCTTCACTAGAAAATGTGGGTTTCCTTTTCCTTTTTCATTTTAAGAGAGAGAGAAAAGTACTGCTCTTCCCCTTTTCTCCAAGTAGGGTTAGAAATGGTATTTTCTCTCTACCTTTAACTGCTAGTCTCATAGCTTCTGATTAGTAATTTCAATTGGAAGAATATTTGATATTTGGCGATGGAAGGATATAGCTGCAAAAAGAAAATTGGTTATGGCCTGGTTAGATGGCTAAGTAGGTAAAGGCACTTGCAGTGTAAGCCTGATGACCTGAGTTCAGTCCCCAGAGCCCTTAAGAAGGTAGGAGAGAATCCAGTCTACAAAGGTGTTCTCTAATTTTCGTACATACCTATGGCACCTGAGTGATGCCTCCCACCCCTCCAGAGAGGGTAAAAATCAGTTGCAACTCATTCTTCAATGAGGCAGGATACAACTCAGTTTTCTCAAGGA